CAAACTCATCACTGGTGGCCTTGTCTTTAGCCTGTAGTTTGTTGATGATGTCCATCGTGATGGGATCTTCCTTGTAGGCTTCCTCCAAAGATCGAGTTACATCCTCAGATAGGCCAAACTCAGAAATCAGCGCACCCAGGTAATCTGCCCTTCTAGACAACGCATATGCAACCTTGTTGTACTCTCCCTTCACATAGTCTAGTTTGAAGTCATACTGATCTATGTATGACTTCAATCCAGCGTTTGAGTGCATCGGAAAGAACCAGTTGCGTCTTGATCCACTTGAGGGTCTGGTGGTCAGTTCTCAAATAGAAGAATCTTCCTAACAGATCGTACCTCCTGTGGACAAGTGCCTTGTAGAGTGCGTAGAGTTCCCTCTCGTAGGTGGACTTCGCCAACTTCTTTGATGGCATCTTTTTGCTCATGTACTCGACCGGTCTCAACTCTTTCCCTTCCTGCTGAGCCAACACTGCGCCAATGTCGTATTGGCTTGCGTCAATGGTTACTACAAATGGCCTTTGCGGGTCGGGTACCACGAGAACCTCATGGTGCGTGAGAGCATGCTTCAAACGCTTGAAGGCTGCCTCACACTTGTCGGTCCAGTCCCATAGTGTGTCAAGTCGAGTTAAATCAGTCAAGGGAGATGCGATCGTACTATAGTTCTTTATGAAGTTGCGGTAATAACCACACATTCCCAAGAATGATCTGACCTCAGTCACAGACTGGGGTCGTGGCCAGTCCCTAATGCTAGCCATCTTCGCATCTTCGGGCCTAATTCCGTCCGCGGATACTTCATGACCCAAGTACAAGATTCGAGTGCGACCGAACTCGCATTTCTCTGCGTTTATCTTATACTTGTGCTGTCGGAGGAGTGAAAGTACTTTGTCTACATGTTGAGCATGCTCCTCGACAGTTCTACTAAAGATAAGTATATCGCCGAGGTACACGATAACGAACTTATCTAAGTAGTCATGGAAGATCCTATTCATGGCGTGTTGGAATGTACCTGGCGCATTGCAAAGGCCAAAGGACATCACTACAAACTCGTACAGATCGTACCTGGTCTGAAATGCGGTTTTGTGTTGGTCCTCTGGTCTTATGGCAATATGATGGTAGCCGGATTTTAAGTCTATCTTTGTATAGTACTTACATCCCTGCACCCTATCCAATAGGTCGTCGATGTGTGGTAGAGGCTCTGCGTTCTTAACGGTGATGGCATTGAGGCCTCTATAGTCAATGCACATCCTTAGTGTTCCCCCTTTCTTTGGAACAAACAGGACGGGTGAGCCAAAGGGGGAAGTGCCAGGCCGTATCCAACCCTTTTCTGTGAGCTCTTTCACTTGCCGACGAAGCTCGTCCAACTTGGCCGGAACCATTCTATAGATTTTCCCTTTTGGTGTCTTGCTACCTGGGATGATCTCTATGGCATGGACAACCTCCCTGTCTACGACTCCCGAGGGCTCCTCGAACAGATCAAGGTACTTAGTGACGATGGTCTCTATCTCTGCGGGTGTTTTAATGGCCTCCCCTTTTGCATAGAGATAGACTAAGTACATTCCTTCCTCTTGGTTCTGTTTATAGTAGTTATAGAAGGCAGATGCTCATAAGCACCCATAGGAGTCTATTAACCTACTGGCTTTATACTTGGCCAGTCTAACGGTCCTCCCATTAGGCAACTTGTGCTTCAACACCTTCTTGTCCCAGTCGAACTGGGGCTTGGCAACCTCGAGGTGGACATGCCCAATAACATGTCAAAGGGCAACTCGTCGCTCACCAGGAATGATATCTTATGGTTTATCTCTCCTCCTGGGTAGGAGAAGGTGCAGACTACATCTTTAACGTAGTCCTCCACCATCATACGCTCTTTGTTGGCCAAGTAGATGCTACCGGTCTACTAAGGTGCTGCACCCGGTCCTTTAGGCACAGTCTGTCAACGCAATCGCGACTTATGAAGTTTCGCGTGGAGCCAATGTCTACGAAGGCGCCACACTTGCGACCACCCACACCAACTTCCACAACGAAGTGCTCCCCTCTAGGACCTCTACTCAGTGCCACCTAGGACTCACGAGGGTCCTGTGCCGACCACTCACCTTGAAGGTCCTCTAAGGCTTCAGACACATCCAACGTACAAAGTATAGTTGGGTCCGGATGCGTCTGCGGGGTGACTAAGGAGTCAATAGCTTCGGCCAACTTTTGAAACGGGGAGGGTACATCACCCGCTTCAACGAGAGTAGAAGCAGCTACATCTTCTACTGGCCTTAAGTGTTTCCCGAGCTGGAGCTCGTAGAGGCCCCAAACGGAGAAGAAGGAAACCCACCCTTAGGAGGGATCTTCTGCAAGACCTTCGGGTTCTTGCATTTAAACTGTTTATGGTTGTACTGGCCACAGTTTATGCAAGCACCTTGCAACCAATGATCTCGCCACACTTCCTGATCCAAGCCTGCTCTAGCGGCCTGCCCCTGACTCCTTTGCTGACCGCCCTTGTCGCGGCCTGCTGCCTTAGTCTTAACTACTGCGGCGAGGTTGCTACCGTCAACACTCTGCTGCCTTAGTCTTAACTACTGCGGCGAGGTTGCTACCGTCAACACTCTCCTCGCCGTCTAACTCTTCACCCTCCACAAGTTCAGAAACATCATCGATTTCAGTTTGTTTCCCTTCGGAATCAACCATCATCAATCGACTACCCTTCTTTTTCCGTTCTTGTGGAGTCTTCTTCTTTCTCCTGTCCGTAGAAGGGGTTTGAGCACTACCCAGCGTAGCCTCAAAGTCTAAGGCCTTTTTACTGAATGTCTCAAAGGTGTGATACTCTAGGCGAGCCTCGCTGGCGAGTAAGTTCTGGATGTCTGTGGGAAGACATCTCAAGAACATGGTCGATAAGACCTGTGGATTGTACTCCAGTCTTGGGACCACGATCAGGCGCTCTACGGTTGTGGTAAGTTCTCGTACCGACTTGTACTTTCTAGCATCAAGCTTTAGAAGCCCATCAGTGGCAATCTGTGCTGGCCAGTAAGTTCTAGATGTCTGTGGGAAGACATCTCAGGAACATGGTCGATAAGACCTGTGGATTGTACTCCAGTCTTGGGACCACGATCAGGCGCTCTACGGTTGCGGTAAGTTCTCGTACCGACTTGTACTTTCGAGCATCAAGCTTTAAAAGCCCATCAGTGGCAATTTGTGCCTGCTGAGGGTTGTGCCATCGAGCCTCCACTAAGTCCATAAAGCTTTCCAGGGTGTGGGTCTACGCCCAATCACCCATGTTCCTGCCGAACCCCTTTGAAGCTACCAATCCATTAAGCCAGCGAGTTGCTGAACCCTCTAAGTAGGATGCAGCAATAATCACTTCCTCTTCTACCAATGTCCTCTTTGCCCTCACCCACACTGGCACCGTTCTCAACCACGTGTCGAGAGCCTTGTCCTTCTTGTCTCCTGAGAAGGTTGGAGGTGGTTTCAAGGGGGTCTTGGGATACCAAGGAAATTGTTGTCCCGCTAGCGAGACAGGTGGCGACTGTGGTGTAGCATCAGTCGCTGGACCGGAAGATGAAGAAGCAACAGTCTGAGATAAGGCTGCTGCTGATGCACCACTTGGTGGTGGTCTAGACTGAGCGGCATAGGGGCCTGTCATCGCTGAGAATGGCAGTGACGACAAGACTGCTGGCCTGATTCTTGGCCTGTGCATGGCATTCAGGATCTGGTCCAAGGTGTCCTGGATTGTATCCAGTTTACTGTCCATGTATGCGTGCATGGACAGGATGCTCGCCTTCAAAATCTTTTCATTATTGCTAAGGGTCGAGTCATCTAACCCCTCTAGCGCAGCCTTGTCTGCCTCCCTACCCTCTAGTCTGACACTCTTATCTCTAATCTCTTTCTCCCTTTTAGTAGCCTGTCTGAGTTCCTCCTCTAGAGCGAATCCTCTCTACTTGCTGGAGCTCCATCTGCTCCCGGGTGCGTGGAGGTGGCGAGCTGAACTGCGAACCCGCCATCTGCCAGCTCCTGACGTACTGGAGATGGACTGTGAACTGGTCGCATGACCAATAGAGTTTGCAGCAGAAGTGGCTGAAGAGGTAGCCATTGCTACTGCACTAGCTGCTGCTGCTGCTAACGCGTGTTCGGCCGCAGCTGCTGCCTGTCTCGCTCTCTCAGATTGCGGGCCCTTGTCTCGGCCCTAAGCCTTCTCTCGTCTCCTGGTAGTAGAACCTGGAACACAACGGGTATCCTACCGGTATCCCGTTGTGTCGACCTCCTATCATCAGATCTATCCTCCCCACCGTCTGATTCGCTCATGGGCTAGGCAGACGCTGTGTGCACTAATGTCCTCTTTGGGATCTACCGCAGCATGCGTCTGACCGGTTCTGAAAATAAATAAAATAATTGATGTCCCGCGAGTTCTAGACTACTAGTCAACCGGTGTCAACAGCACCTACACAACCTGTATACATGTAGTCTACCTCTATCTTTGATTAGTTCTGCACAGAAGCTTCAAGGAGAACTGACTATGGTAGATTACAGTCCTACTCTTGGTTGTCTGTTAGGTGTTGGCAGTCTGTCAACCAACTAATCAAGATAAAAATAAAGTACACTGAGCAGATGTATGCACAATGGAAAATATAGTGATTAACAGTTGCGTTCACAATTGGAATCCCCTTCCCTTGTATCCAACATACCTGTGAGCATCATCAAGCTGCGGTGTCTAAGGTGTGCAACCACGGCCTACCCCTATGCCCAAGAAGTATGCTTTTGACCAGCCTGCCCTTTATTTACCCTCGCGGGCAACGAGCCTTATGTCTGACTGATCTGGCTGATCAAGAGGCAATTTAAGGACAGCCCCCGAGAGTCCTCAGGAACTCTTTAATGTCGCGATCAGGACGACGATCACAGCCAGTGGACAGTTCAGACCCCAACCAGAAATGTTTATGGACGGTGTAGGACTGGTCAGTCCGCACACCCCTTCTATCAGCGCAGCAAAGAGCCTCAATGGACAAAGCAGCATGGCCTGCATGTACTAATACCCATGGGTTGGCATGGTGACCGTGACCCGTGCTTCGACCAGGGCCCTTCAGAGGCACCGCCCTCTCCTGCCAGATGCGCCACCGGGAAGAATGTTGTCTCTCAAGATAGAGCGCACACGACTCCTCACCAAGGAGAGGACACTCAAGTTGGACTCACTTCCTCACKGTAAGAAGAGATTGAGAGGGTAGATAAGGAATGGGAACAACGTACCTGGGGATAGCTGCCCCCAACCACAGATTTCTCACCAATTGGGCCGGCGTGCATTTCGATGACCGGTCATTAGCCTCGGTACCGCCCACAACGCCATGCAGTGCCACCTCAGCCAAAATGCCACGTCAGCATACTCTCATCATCATGCATACACCCGCTGTCGCCACAGCCTTCCAGCGGCCGGCCTCTCCACCTAGGCCCCGCTAATCAACCAGCGCCAAAGTATCCTTTCTGCACATGAAGCATCGTCAGCGCACCAAGTCACAATGTCGCCGGTGCCAGGTAAGCGGCGATCACCAACCAGCTCCGATACCAAATTGCACGGAATATGAGTGTGAGCGATATACATAAAACCAAGTTGCGAAATCACACAGCTGTCCAAGTAGTCATGTCCCAAGCAGAGAGTACAAATGCACCGAGAAAACCATCCATATAGAGCAATACGATGAAGTAATGAGCCAATGTTCAAGCCCGTAGGCCACGCCAACACAGTATCCAAAGTCGCTCTGCTCTGTCTGGCGCTCAGCGCCCAGCTTACTCTACTAGACTATCCTACCTACAGCTGGTTCACGCAACAGGATCAGTTCGACTCACAAAGACCAATGTACATGACTGCCAACACCATCGCCGACCTGTCTTCATGTTCCAGGTACGTATCTCGTCACCTTCAATCAGACCTTGATTACCCCACACAGCGCCTCCTTCCCTGAAGACCACCTGATCATCCGCTGTACCCCCTGGCGCCCAGCAGCCCGGCTATGGCCGCCTGCGCCTCGCTGCCCTGCAGCGCCCCACTTCACCTCTCGCGCCCCGTCAGCGCCCTTGGCAGCAGTGCAGCATCAAGCGAGAGCGCAGCAGCACTTCCGCATTGCCAGCGCTGGCCAGAATGCCTGGCCTGGGCTGCCTCATTCCTGTTGTGGAAGTGGCAGCCCCCTGGATGCTCCGTGTGGCCTAGCTGGAAGCTTCCAGTAGCTTCCAGTTGAGTGGACCCTGTGCCCAGGCCCCAGACTACAGTTGAGGGCCTGGGCCCTTTGCAGTTAGGCACGGCCTGAGTCTCCTGACTTGGGTTGTTTGCTGCATCTGTGCAGGGCTCCCAGGCAGGTGTGTTGGCACTACTGCTTTTGCAGAGGCCGAAGGCCTGCTTCCCAATGTATCGGCCCTGCTTTGTGTATGTGTGCCCAGGCGCAACTGTCAAGGCCTGGGCCAACTGTATGACGCAACAATGTGAGGCTCACGCGTCTTCCCAAACAACTGGCGTGTTGCGAGAGCCTGAATACCCACATACGGAAATGTCGAATTTTGCCTTGACGAATATTCAGGCCCGCCGTCACTTAGGGCGGGCACTTGGCTTGCTGGGGGCCTTAGCCCAGAACAATGTGATGTCTGATAGGGCCCCTTGAGGGCTTGTTCCTCACACAATCAATCAATCAATCAATCAATCAATCAATCAATCAATCAATCAATCAATCAACCAATCAATCAATCGATCAGTCAATCAATGACCAAGCAATCAATGGTCAATCAATCAATCAATCAATCAATCAATCAATCAATAGATCAATCAACCAATCGATCAGTCGATCGATGGTCCCCGCGCACATGTCAGATCAGGCTTGTCCTGATTCACGTGGGGGGCTCCGATACCAGCTGAAACATGCCCAGTTGGGCAATGTACATGGAGCTAAGGATCTGCAATGTGATGAAAAGGACTGAATGGACAATGCAATGTAAGTGAAACATCAATAGGCAATGGACAATGCAATGTAAGTGAAACATCAACAGGCAATGGACAATGCAATGTAAGTGAAACATCAACAGGCAATGTACATCCTGATACATACAAAATGGCACAAAGTAGCGCAGTGATAAGTCCTGACCTGACCGGGACTGACACAACATCCCAGCATACACCACACATGCGAGGGAGGAGGAGGGACCGCACACATGGAAGAAAGGTCCCTCGTTTGTACAAGCACATGGGAAGATACCACTGATGAGAGATGGGGGGAGAGGCGAGACGAAGATGGAGGTGAGGGAGAAGACCGAGATTGCAATAGCGAAGTCCAAAAATGGCCTTGCTGACGAAGAAGAAGATGTCGCCTCCCTTGCTGCCTCACCTGCAGGTGCTGACGTTGAACTGACCGCCGTTCTGTGTGGTCGTGTGCAGGTCGTGCGTGCATGGGGAGTCACAGCTATGGCGCCAGGTAAGTCCCCTTCGTCACAGGTATCCGCCCCTCTGCCTTTCGGTGCCTAGCCTCCAACTCAGTGGCGCAGCGCTAAACAGCGCAGCGCTGAACCAGCAGCATGTCGCTCAAGAAGTGAGCTACTCGAACTGTCCCGTACCCAGCCTCAGCCCAGCTATATGTAGCGCTGGGCTTCGCTGGGCGTGCCTCTGAGGCTGGCCTAAAACGGCCCTCCAGGTCTGGGCCCCTACCGGGTATCGAGACCGCGCTGCTGATGCAGCGAGGTGCCAAAATGCGCCTCGCCTGAAAACGGCCTTGCCGGTAGTGCACCCAGCCCAAGGCCGTGCCTTGGGGACTGCATGTCTGCAGCGACGTCCGAACAGACAAAGTAGGACTGAAACGGTTTTCACCTTTAAGAAGTAGCGGATGCAGTACGCAGGGTTCGATCCCTAGACCTCACCCTACCCATGTACAGTATCTGTGTAGACCCCAAGAATTGAACCTGTGACCTGTGTATTCGTAGGCAGTTGGTAGACCTGTCGTAGGTCCATAGACAGCAGGGGTTCGATCTGTAGGTCTAT